GGCTAGACTTGGGACAGATGGAAGGTTCATATATTCTACGTACTGAGTTCATTGTGGTGACGGCCACCCACCATGTAATCGAAATGAGTTGAGGTACCTCTGAGAGTAGCAAGGGACTTAGTGAAATGATTTAAACAGTGGTCATATTTTGACTCAGAAATCTGGTCAAGGGAAATACTTCCTATATTTCCATTAGTCTAGGAGGAATTGCCTTATCTAGCTAAGCCATAGCTGATTGATTGGGTTTTTAATCCTAAATTTTTTTGTCTTACTACTGATCATATCCCTCATGGAAATAATTAGATATAATGCTGTGTGGTCAGAGAATTGCTGCACCTTGGATGACATGTGTGTGCCTGGAGCCCAACAGAGGGCCGATATTCAGAACTTTCACCCGGCAAAATCATAATCGTATCTCATTCCTCCCTTATTTTAAAAATTACTCAGGCTTATTCTAACAAAAATAATATAAAGGTTGTCACCTGCATTTTCACTATTTTTAAAATTCTGGCCACCTCTTACATGGCATAGTAGTTAAGACCACAGTCTTTGGTCTGATAGTCCCGGCCTGTGCCTTATACTAGATGTGCGAACTTGGTTGAGGTCCCTTTTTGTCTCCACAAGTCCTCATCTATAATAGCATCAGATGGCAGATGAGAAGTACGTGTGAAATTCTTGCAACAGTGGCTACCATGGAGTTCAAGTGTACAAGAAATATTACCCACTGCTGTAGTGGTGCTAGAAACAGAATTAATAGAAGATAACAGACCTCTGTATGGTGTTTTGTTTTGGCAAAAGCGGGATCCTGTTAATGTTTAAAATCTGCCATTTTCTCTTAGAATTTCAAACTGCCATTTTAATAACAGCTTTATTGATGCTTAACTCACATACCATACTTCTATTTAAAGTATAGAATTCAGTCATGTTTAGTATATTTACAAAGTTGTACAGTTAACTTTAGAACATTTTTTGTCCCCCCCAAAAGAGCCCAGTACCATCAGCATTCACTCCCAAATCCCCTAGCCATCCTTCTTCCTCTCCCCCACCCAGTCTACTTTGTATCTCTGTGGATTTGTGAATTCTGGACATTTCCAAACCATACCTTTTAATGGTTATGATATTCTGTCCTGTGGATGTACCTTAATTTACCACCTGTCCCACTGCTGTTGGATCTTTGAGTGATTTTCATTTTTGTAGTGATGTTCGTGTTACGCCACTTAAACCCCTTCATTCACTGCGTTCACTTGGAATCATATGATTAGTTAAGAAGCAACATGAAACCCTAGCCGGTCCTCCTTGCCTGCGCTCTGCCATGTTCCTGGGAAGCCTGGGCTCCTGGTGCTGCTGAGGAAGATTTGAGCCTGAGACCAAACACACAGCATGCAGAGACCCAGGTGGCAGCAGCTCACCTGACAACCAGATGCAGCAGCTGGAAAGCAAGTGACTTATCTGAGCAGAGCTTCTGGAAGACAGACCAAGCACAGGACTATAGCCATCACTAACTTTTCCCATCTAATCATACTGCTGGGAGGCAGACTGATGGCCACAGTAGGTGTGTGCCAGTCTGAGGTTTAAGATGACTTGGGCAAAAGGGATCTGGAAGAAGCAGGCTGCTCACCATCCCTGGTCTCTTCTGTCAGTCAGTTTGCATTCCCAGGACTGGGAAACACACTGTGGAGGAATGCGTGAAATTCATGCTTTGCTTTTGAATGTTGGGCTTCTCGTAAGAGAACCTGTATCTGCTCATTTGCTGTCTGGCTACTTTATGCGTTCCTTTGTTTTTCTGGGTTTTCACCTTCTGCTGGCCTCCAAGTGGACACACTGTTAATTCAGTTTCATTAGCATCTAGTAGACTGTTTAAACTTCTCTCAGGGAAGATAGATGTAATATTGGATTGAGTGTACTATTCACATACACCAGTCTGTTCATAGTATGTGCTGAAACATACATTTTATTTGGGGTGGGAAATTGCCTAAGCCTTGTTAACTTCCTTATACTTAAACTGGGGATTCTAACACAGCATTGACTATTTCATAAAATAAAAAGAAGTAGAAAGGGTAGATCTTGAAGGCTTTGTGAGAAGCACATGAGTGCTAGAATCATGATAGTGACCTGTAAAAGCAAATTCCTGTTCTCTCCCACATTAACATGATGGGGCTTTTCCCATTCCTTAGTTCCCAGTAGTGAAGGATGTGCTCTGTGAGGTCAACAGTGAGGCCCTGCATCGATGTCACATGTCACCTTAAAAAAAGCTTTCCCTGGTTTCCAGAGGCAGTGCTTAGAAATACAGATGTTAGTTAAGGATACAAACTGTGCAGTCAAAAAATCCATAGCTTTCCAGTCTTGCTTTCCCATCTCAGGTCACTTAAATTCTGTCTATTCCTTCCTTTGAATTAGGGATAAGGATAACTTTACCTAAGCAGTTTTGGGGAAGATAGAGTAAGAAAATTCCATGTTAGGTATATAACTTGCCAGCTTCCAGCGTTGATGGTGCTTCTCAGGGCTGTCGTTACTGTTACTAATTGTATAATTTGGGATCAATTTAACATCTGACAAAAGCATCTACCTCAACAGTAGTATAAGGAGCAGCAGAGACAGTGCTGGAAACCCACTAGCCTAAACAGTAGCTTACATGCGGCACCTGGCCTAGCAGCATGTGGTAGTTATGTTATGTAGGCACACCACTTCTTCTGCTTGCAGATTCCCTGCACTGCTGGACAAGATGCATCAGGTGAGCAGAGGCTGTGCTTTCTTCTTTGTATACCCATGCCTGGCTCAACACAATAGCTAATTAACAGTCTTTCAGACACGAGTATTTGAACTTATAGAGAACATAGTTTAAGAACAAGAATCTCTTAAAGAATGATCAAAGTATGTCAGATGATCCAGACGTCTTTCTCTTAACAAGAATGCTTGTGGTGTGGTTACCCAGTTCGCTTGAGGTAAGTGCAGAAGAGCATTGGTTTTGTTCTCCCTGTGTGCTGTTTGAAGTTGGCCTCATTGCTAAGCTAATGTTTAGGCATTATGTTTGTCTTTGGATACTTTGAAAGAAGAGAATTCTCTGATTTGACTAGTTCTCCCCTCAGTTAAGGACAAACCACCAGATTTGGTCCAAAGAAGGAGCTAGATGTAAACACCACTGAGTTCTCAGGAAAGGCAGGGCTGAAAGTCCAGCCATCAATTGCTATTGCTGCTATTCTCTTCATCGCAACCCCCACTGCCCAACATTTCAGAGGGATTCTATTTCCTAAGTTAATGAGTGTTTGGGGTAGGGTAAGACACAATCTGCTTCTGGAAGGGCACACAAGCAGGGCTGCCAGTAAGCAGCTGGGACTCTGGCTTTTGGTGGTTCGTGGTCTCAGCTGTAAAACGTGTGCTTCACAGGTTCTGTCACCTTTGCATGGTACATGCAGAACTCAGGGCTGCAGTGCAGACTGTCCAGAGCCCCTCCTGCTTCTTGCAATAGATGCCTGCATTCTGCTTCACCAGCTGAGGAAGCATAGGTACACTTTTGTGTCTCAAAATAGTGCTGTAAAAAATGAGTGATTAAGATGTGGGCCATGTGGCTGTTCCTTACAAGAATCTGACTGAAAGGTGTAAGTTCCTCTGGCATCTTGCATAGCCTTGTCCATGAATCCACAGAATCAGAGACCTCATGGTTTAACTGATGTGATGAGTGGTGCTTTCCTAAGTGACATAGAGGTAAATCAGGATATAGCTAACCCTCCTTAAACACATCATAGTCATCCAAAGTGTGCACAGTTAGCTCCTGGCTATTTGATGTCCTGGCTTTGTCCAAGCACCTCCCCAAATCAGTTCACCTCACAGTGCCTCAGTTTCCTCTTTAGTAGAGCAAAGGAGTCAGACTTAGATCATCTTTAACACTTTTTTTTTTTTTAATTACTCTTCTCAAGTGGACTCAGCTCTCTAATCCTGTCTGCTTCCAAGACAGCCCATTGTGCTTCTGGCCAGTCCCTCAGACCCATTGTTTCCTTATCCCTAGTGGTTACCTTTTCAGTACATTTCAGACAAAAAGAAGTGAGCCTCACATTTCTGGATGCTCAGAAAAGGTCAACAGCCTACCAGCTCAAAGTGGGGCTGAGTATTGATCCCTCTTGCAGGACCAGGGAGTTCCTGACAGAACCGGCCCCGCCTTCCTCCTTAGGTGCTCTCAGGCCCTTACAGAAAGCTGGCTTCTGCTGGTTTCATGATCAACTCAGAGGTTTTGGCTGGTCGGCGTGTGTCAGAGGTGGCAGGGCAGGAGGGGGTGGCTACTGTGTTTTGGGTCCCCTAGTGGAATTGGGTGCTAACTGCGAGAGTAGCACTATGTAGAGAACCAGAGCAGGAAGGGAGACTCTCGCATCTGCTCCTGTGTTTATTGATCTGGAGAAGTGTTTTTGTGCCTCATTCTCTACCAGGATGTGGCATATAAAGATGCCTCCAATGGGCTCCTAGGCAGGAGAGCAGAACTGCCTGCTGTTCACCAAGCATCTGCTGAGTGCCCAGCCTGGTGTCAGTGCTGCACTACGTATGGATGCGTAATGTTAACATAGTATGATGGGTACTTTACAAGTGGTTTCTGCAAAGGACTGTGGGAACACAAGAGGAAGGGCAACATTTTGACTGGAGATAGGGAATTAGGGGGACAGGGACAGTAGAGAGAGGTGGGAAGGGTCAAAATGGGCTTTTAAGTGAGGGAGGAGTCTCAGCTTTGCTGTAAATGGCCTTGGAAAGGTGTCTGCTTTCTTGTCTGGAAGCATGAGGAGTTTGCAATAGAATGACTCACATTTTTCTGATAGAGTTGTGCAACTGTAATGCTGCCTTTCTTCACTTTGTTAGTGTCGTTTCTTTTCTTTCTTTTTTTTTTAAATGGTACTGGGCGTTGAACCAGGGCCTTGTGCTTGCTAGGCAGGCACTACTACTTGAGTTACTCCCCCAGCCCTTTTTGAATGGGTTATTTTTGAGATAGGGTCTCACTTTATGCCAGGGCCTGTGTGGACTGCCATCCTCCTATTTGTGTTCTCTGCATAGCTGAGATGACAGGAGCCCAGCCACTGGTTGAGATGGAGTGTTATGAACTTCTTTGCTGGCATGGCCTCAAACCGCAATCCTGTTGACCTTTACCTCCTTAGTAGCTAGGATTACAGGTTTACGCCATTGTGCCCAGGCGGCTATTAGCTTTTAAAGTCTTATCTGTTGTCTTTAGAAAAGAGGAAAAAGAAAGTATGTGCCCTCTTGCTTCTCTGTACTAGCACTTGAAAATATCAAGTTTCTGCCCCTCTCCCTATCCCTGCATGTCAGAGGATAATACTCACGCTTGAGCAGAATGGCAGAGCGGTCCTCCAAGCATATGGGGATCATCAAAGGACATACTCTTTGTACTATCAAGACTTGTGTCATGGTGATTTTTAGAGTTTAAAGAGATACCAGTTCTCGTGTGTTTGTGCAGTTGTCATTAACAACTGCAGATTCGCTGATATTTTCTTTATTTTGCTCATTCAGGTTTTAGTCTTACTTACCCAGTTTGATTCCATGAAAGCCTACTGTGTCATAAAGCCTGGGAAAGCCCTGCATGTGAGCTGCCTTGTCTTTGGAAGACTTCTCCACAGCACAAGTCTTTGAGTCTCTCTTCTTGCCATTGTCACATTCTGTCCTTTGCTAGTTATTTATGTGTGCATCCTGTCTTTCTTGTCGGATTATGGTGAGTTCTTTACATTCTTCATAATCCCTAGCATGAAGATTTGTCATAAATATTAGTTGAATTGAACTGAAGTAATGTTTTTCTGAGCTAAGTCTTCATCATTAAGTACAAAAGGAATTGTTTTTAGAAAGGTCCATCATCTTTACTTTCCCCTGTCTGATTTTGTATTTAGATAGTTACTTAATATGTGTTCCACCTGTATCCTGGAGAATATATGTAGCAGCCTAAAGATTAGTAGGATAAAAATAAAATGCAGTTAGGAAATGATCAGTGTGCTGTCTCTGTGGGAAGGAGCAGGGAACCAAGATGCTTGAGTTCCATGGATTATAGTTAACTCCATCTTATTTGATCTAAGAAAAGAAGGAACCATAGCTAGTTACAGCATTTTCTTATTTTCTTTTCTTTTTTACCACAAATGGCATAAAATTCATCTGCAGAGAGAAGCTTCCTGGTCCTGACCTTAGTGTGTATTTCTCTCAGGTCTTTGTCTCTGTGCACACCTACCTATTTATGCTTCCTTAAGTTGTTGTACTGACTTATTGTTGTTATTTCACTGCTTTGGGGTGTTTTACTTCTGTGGTCTCCCTGCCTCACTGTTCTTTCTCAGCAAGCTACTCTGGAGATTAACTGTGTTGATGGTAGCAGCCTGCATGCACTATTTACAACTGCTCTCCCGGCCCAGGGTTCCCCAGTGCTTATTTCAAATTTGATAAGAAAACAGGTCAGGTAGAGTCAGGTTAGCCTCTGTCTTTTTGCCAGCCACAGTGCTTGAACTTGCACATACATTATTTTATTCTATCTAGGAAGTTCTCCCAGGGAGAGTACTTTGTGGGTATGAAGAGCTTTGCATCTTGTGCTGAGGAATGGGTTCTCTGGGTTTATCTGATAATGGGACAAGGTAGTTGATATTATAGGACAAACTCAGTGGATGAGTTAGAAGGAGTAGGTGAACTTAGCTTAACTGACTAGTAAACTTTTTTTTTTTTTTGTCATTGTTTTTGTAGTACTGGGATTTATATTCAGGACATGGTATTTGCCAGACAGGGCTATACCACTTGATCCATGCTCCCAATCCTTTTTGCTTTAGTTATTGTTTTAGATAGAGTCCCACTTCTTGTCCAGGGTTATCCTCTGATTGCCGTCCTCCCACCTACACCTCCTTTGTAGCTGGGATTGCAGACATGTGCCACCACTCCTGGCTTGTTTGTTGCAATGGCATCTTGGTAACTTTGTACCCGGACTGGTCTTGACTGTCCCAATCTCTGCCTCCCAAGTGGCTAGGATTACAGGTATGAGCCATTACACCTGGCCACCAGTAACCGTTCTTCTATTTAAACTTGTCCATACAACTATGGACAAGTGTTGCTGATAAGACAGACTTTGTTAGGATTGTGTATTTAGAATAAGTGCATTTGAATGTGCCCTCTGAGCTCTAAGAGGTACTTCCTGGAAAAGTTGGAAAGAGCCCGATCTATTGAGCACATTTCTCTTCTTTTTGGGGTTGTAGAAACTGAAGTCCCAGAGTTCATGTCCGTGGTGACTAAGCTAGGACTTGATTTCCCAATTCACCAGCTATCCTTTTAACCCTGATGTCTGCTTCTCCTTGTGCTCAGCGCTTCAGAGCCAGAGTGGACATCTCTCCATGAGCTCAGGTGGACAGATGGGCAGATGTGAAAATCTGTTATATTCACAGAGATGGCATGAGCAAGGGTGAGTTCTAGAGCGGGATGCAGATGTCACGCCTGCCCCTTGCAGGTACCTGTGTCTGTCACACTCCACTCTACCCAGTCATGCCTATTGGGGGGGGAGTTGGCTGCCTTTGGAAGATGCAGTTAGCTGCTCTTCTAGGACAAAATGGGGTGACATGCCAGAGGTTCAAGTTGTTATCACTTGGCATTACAGAAAATTGAAAGTGTCTTTAGGGCTTCTGGGTCAGTGTCTGTACTTTACATGTGTGTGGGTGAAAAAGGTTCCCTGAGATTTTTTGTTTTCTTCTCTGTTTTGAAGTTACATGGCTAGCCTGTTGGCTATTTACCTGTTCTGTTGTTCCTCATGCCTGTAACTGTAGACTGGACCATTGCTATCTCTGGCAAAGTGGATTAAGCAGCGGTATTGATGTCTGTTGACCTGAGCAGTGGTTTGGGGGTACATAATGTTACTGTTTTCTGTAGGTAGATTCTACTTTCAGAGTAATCTAGAAACTACGAGAAGCTGTGAGTTTTCTCTTAAAGGAAAGATACTTGTCCTTGCTATCGTGAAAAGTGAGGTCTAAGTTGCTTATAATTTTTTTTCATAATTCTTTCTGCCTCATACAGCCCTAGTTGTCTTAAATCTAGGCTTGTTAGGTCTTATCCCTCCCCTATATTATTTTTCTTTCTTTTTACTTTTGAGCCACACCTACAGCCCCTTTTCCCTGTTTTTGAGCAGGGCGTCACTATGTTGCCCAGCTGGTCTTGAATTCCTTGGCTCAAAGGATTCTCCCAGCTAACCTCCAAGTAGCTGGGCACATGGGATCATGTGGCCTGCTTTCTGTATTTCTTATGATCATAAATCCTAGAGGGGTGTGACATATGCTCTGGGTTAGCAGTAAAACTAGACAGCTTGAAAAGCATGATAAATTTGGTTTTCTATTTAAATACAATGTTTTCTAATTATAAGGGTCATGTCTCATTAAAATACAGAAAAAGAGAAAGAAAGTTGCACATGATTTTGAGAATTCTAGTAGTGCTAATGGTAAAATATTGAAACATACTTCTATGCATTTTATGTCTTAATAGTTGAGATTTTATGCAGCATATGTAAATAACTATTGTGTGAAGTTGTTAGTGTACAAAAGCATGCCTCACGTAGCCATATGTCCTGTTTTCACCCATCATATGGGTATTTCCTCTTGTTCTTAAACTTTCATCCTCTGTTTTTGTGGCATGGTAGTATTCCTTTGCTTATTGCATATACCAACGCTGTTTACATGCCTGATACTGGTGTTGGTTTCTCCTCTCCTTCACTGTGATGGCACACACACTTCTCTATTGATCTTTCCAGTGACTCCATGGCAGGGATCTTAGAAGCAGAGTTGCTGGGTCTAAGGCTTTCACACATTGCCACTTGTCCCCAAAATGTTACTGCAGCTAATGCTGCCATCAGTGGGTACTCATGAACCCCAGTGCTAACTCCTTTCTCTGTGTTGGTAGTGTTCACTCAGCTCTGGACTGTTCGGTATCTCCATAGCTCTGTAGGAAGAAGCCCACCACCTTTTTGAGGGTGGACCTGGGCAAACTCCACCTTGTGCACTGGCTGCTTCCTGACTTTTGCTTATTGTTCTTCACTCACTGACAGCACTTCCAGTCAGGGAAACACCAAGGATTTTCTCAACATGCTTTTTTTTTTTTTTTTTAATACCTGGTTGTCTTAAAATTAGCAGCAGCTGGAGGCTGCTTCTAGCCACCTGACCCAGCACTGTATTAACCTACGAGAGGGTGACATTCTGCTGTGACGGCACAAACTTCCTTGCCATTTTCTGAGCATTTTCACCAAGGGCTCAGTTCTCTGCCTTTTTCTCGAGGTAACCACAGAGTTGCTACAGAGGAAGTGAGCATTGTGACACACTTCAGAAGCATGGGCTGGAGAGTGTGCTCATACATTCTAACAAGTTGTGTTCATTTTCTTTCTTTACACTTTACACTCAGATAAAGCCAGAGTTCTGCCTTTAGGTTTAGAGCTGTCCAGTGTCTCCCTTCCCAGCTCTCCTGGTGCAGGCTGGTATTGGTTGCAGCGATGAGACCAGGGAATGTTCTAGGCTCCTCTGCCTTGTCCTGCTGGTCTGTTTATCCTAGTGCCCATTCATTCTATTTCTGAGTTGGAAAAAGGTTTCTTCATAATTCTCGTGCTTAGTTGTGATCATGTGACCATGGGGCTGAACCCCAGCTGTGTCCTGTATCAGCTCAAGGCCTTAGGAAGGAGCCTCACTTTCTCTCTCTGTGTCTGTAAAGGAGGTGATGTACGAGCTGGCTGGGGTGTTGGGAGGATTAACTGGGGTGATGTGTAAAAGTATACTGAGCTGGCACAAAGTGAGCAGCAAAATGGCGGCCCTCCCCAAGGTTATTCCACCTGCTGGCATGCCGCGTTGCTGTGACGATGAAAGGAGGTATGCTCAGGGAGACGTCTGCTGCAGTGCCTGGTATGGAAGCATCGCCCCTGAGCCCCCACATAGCAAGTGCTCCTCACCAGAAAAACACCATCTGCTCCTCGGATTCCATCAAACTATGGGCGCTTTTCCTTTTTGTCTTGTTGTAGAAACCATCAGTGAGAGATTTCTCTAAACACGTTTGTAAAGAGTTTCCTGTTCAACGTTTTAGCTGTTCCTGTAAAAGAACAAAAAAAAGCACAACCATTTCTTCACCAGCCTTTCCTCAGCTGTTCCACGCCTTTGTCCCCCAGTGTCACAGAGTCTTTCTTTCTTGCTGCCTGTGTCAGTACGGTTCATTAGGTCTTTGAATAAATGCCCTGACTCCTAGTCCATGTCTTCAGCCACACTGTTACCTGGGTTTACAGTCGTCAGCCCACACCTGGGTGTGTGAAGGATGGTGGGGTAAAGTCTTAGGAGTGGATGTAGAACTGCCTGGCTAACTCACTGACTTATTCATTTACTTTGTGACCATTTGTTGAACATCTGCTGTATTCCAGACATTTTTAGCACTAGTGGCACAAGTAAGGTGACAACAGGGCTCCAGGCCTTAAAAGCTCACACTGAAGTTACTGTTTTCCAGGTGAAGTATCAAGGTGTGGGAGGTGCTGTGTCAGCACCTGCACAAGTGCCTGCAGCGGCATCAATGACAGGCATGGCTTTTCTGATTGGAGATGCTAGAAAGAGCCCTCATGAAGGACATGGCTCATTCTCATTCACAGAGTGGGTGCAACTCCTTACTTTGAAGTACCCCAGGGTGTAGTCACAGACACACACAGGATGCCTAGTGGATCATAGGGTTCAGTTCTCTTCCTACAGTTTCAACAAACTAATGGTGTATTGTGGCATTTTGTTTAATCATAGCGGTAGTTACTCCTTCCTCCCCATTCCTCCTTGTTAGACTTCACCAGTGATGAGGGGCGTATACGGTACGGTGATGGCATCACAGTGGTTTGAAGTAGGACTGGAGGGTGGGAACAGATAGGAGCAAGACAGACAGCACTTTGAAGACTGACGAAAGAAGATGGTACCTTTTAAACTGAAAAGCCGAAGTACTTTTTTTCCCCCAGCATGGAATAGTGGATGATTTGGTCTTCAGCAAAGAAGGGACCCAAGGACACTGGGAAAGGATTGACTGTAACAATCATCCATTCAAGATTCCAGTCAGGTAGGCCAAATGTTGGCCAGGTTTGTATCTTTGTGAACCTCTGAACTTGGGAGATAGAGAACCCTACTAATGGGGTTACCCACAGCTGGGGGGCCCAGAGTGGCCTGTTTCCTGTCCTGACCTAGGGTGTCCTTTTCTCCCTGGAGCAAGGGAAAGGAAGAGCCTCTTCCCTATGTCCTGCTCAGCCTGTAAGGCTCCCTCTGCTGTTACAACTCTGTCCTGACGGGGAGTATCCTTCAGGACCAGGTCTGGTTTAAACTTCAGGTCCTTGCTCCTGTCTCCTGGGACCGGTTTCATTTTTCTTTTCCTGGATCTCATCTCTGACCCCTGGCAAGACATGATCATAATCCCTTTTGACTATCTGCAAAGGAAGGAACCATTCTGGGGCATAGTCACAGACTTTTTTTTTTTTTAACTCTTTTCCATTTCATAAATTCTAGAATGACCTCCGCACACCACCAGCAGGATTTCCTTAAACTTTCTACCTGCTTAGCTGGCATGTTATAATAATTCTTTCTGTTGTGTAGTGTTTCATGTTTTATAAAGGTTCTTCATGTGTTTTCTCCTCTGATCCTTATAAGAAAATGAAGAAAGCAGACTTTACTTTTCACATATTCACAATCAGAAACCTAGACTTAGGGAGGCCACCCAGCTAACTTGTGAAAGACCTGGGGTTGGAGCCCAGGTTGTCTGGCTCTTCTTTAAGTTTAGAAATTGAGTCTTGGCTTAAACGAGATCTAGTTCAAGTCTGTAATCTACTGTGGCTGAAACACCTGTCTGCATATGCTGACCACATGAAACCAGGGCTCAGTGGGTGTCATCTGTGACTCAGCTCCCTTCCATTTGCCCCAGCTGTAGCATTTCTGTGCCATCCCATCCTGACCAGAAGAAGAAGGTTTGTGCAGGTCCCCAGCTCCAAGTGCCACCAGGAATGCTGTGGAGCAGAAAGCTCATCTGGGACGAATGCTAGACAAGCCTGGGGTGTGGGTTCTTAGAGTGGGTAGGGCAGTAGCTCCAGTAGCCTGGGTATTCCACTTCATATTTCTGGGCCCCTGCTTCTCCACTGAATAAATGGGGGTCTACACATGGACCATTTGTTACTTCTACAAGCCTCAGTTTCTCTCTGAAAAATGGGCATAATAATGCATTTTGCAATGTTGTGAGGATTAAATAAACTGTCCAAAAAGCAGCTGAGCATCATGCCTAGAAATACAACTGGTGCTGAATATATGTTCTACTTTCTCGTCTTCCTCCTCTTCAGACTATTTTAAGAGCCTCATAAAAAGCAGTGTGGCGTTCAGCATTGTGGCTTACACCTGTAATCCCAGCTACTCTGAAGGCACAGATCAGGAGGATCTT